CATGCATATATATATATATATATATATATATATATATATATTGGCAGAGTATGAGCGTAGGAGATGCTATATATTATATGGACTGGCCATTACTATCAATTAACGAAAAAAAAGAATTGCTCATGGTTATGATACGAAGTACAATTCCTATAAAGTTCACTAGCAGCTTCTTGATAACTCTATCTCTTCAATCTTACAGCAATGTTAGTAATATTGTTATGAAATGTATAAGTACTTCGGTGAATAAAATTTCTATGTAATATTATCAATATTTGTGTTCGCAAATCGCAAAATAAGCAAATTTTTTGATAACTACACATTAACGTTTTTTATAATTTATTTTTCAGATCTTAAAAACGTCATACTCAGCATTTAATGTACTCCAAAAATAAAATATAAATAAATTAAAGTGTACTTGGACGTAATGACGTAGTTTTTCATAAATTAGCACTAAAGCTTCTTATTATGTATTTATTTCAACCTTATTCTAAAATTACTTTAATTGTAAAGTAGTGGCGCAAACAGATACATGTATACGATTTACGTAATAAAATGCAATACGTAATAAAATATTTTGATTTCACACAAGTAACACTAATTTTGATTTCAGCATAGAGAAAAAAAAGAATTTCTGGTCAGTTTACGTCATATGTAATAATATTGCAATTGATACATATAATTATCGTATACACTTATAGTCGGTACTCATACTAACAGTTAACTTATTGCTAGAAAATATTTGAATATTTTATAAATTGGCCTTCACTATATTATCTCGTATTTTATGCAATGTAAAGTAAGACTTTATGAGAAAAACGATTTTCCAATTGATAATCATTGAAAATATTTTATTCAATGGGAATATGACAATGTGCGTTATTATAAGGAACCACACCCTCGATTGCAAGTAGGGAAACTTTCAGTAATTATAGTATTTATTTAGAACTAGGAAAAAACGCACATCTTGTAATAAATATCTAATCAATTTCATTCGATTATTTAATGACTATTATTAATGCTAGGGTTAATATGTTGAAGTATGTAAAACTGTACGCAGTCACAAGACGTGTTCAGTTACATTGAAATAAAAAAAAAATTTTATAATAATAAAACATGTTATATCATTATTAGTATTCAGTAATTCTGTATTATTAGTCGAAATTTTAAGAAGCAATAGACAAAAAAAGTGCGCGATAAATTCATGCAAATATTGCTTCTTAAATGTATTCATACACTATCATTAGAATTAAAAAAGCTCGTGTGATTTTCAACTCGAGATTACATATTATACGCGATCTATGTGTTAGATGAATAAAATTTGTCGCAATCAATCACGTTTAATATACGATTTAAATATTAATTTATGAAATTTGTTAATCGCTTAATCCATTTTATAAACTATTATACTGCAGTCTATATTAAATTCAACTTTTATTGATATAATTATATATTATATAT